TCCTTCTTTGTCTCTTACTATAGCCATGCTTTTAAAGTCTGTTTTGTCAGAAATAAGTATTGCTACCCCAGCCATTTTTTCCTTTCTATTTTCATAAAATATCTTTTTATATCCTTTTACTTTTGGTCTGTGTATATCTTTTGATCTGAGGTGGGGTCGTAGAGGCAGCATATACATGAGTGTTATTTTGTTAATCCATTCAGCTACCCTCTGTCTTTTGGTTGGAGCATTTAAGCCATTTACATTTAAGGTGATGATTGATAGATACGTATTTAGTGCCATTAATTGTTAGAATATTTTCTCGTTTTTTTTTTTCATTCTCCTTTTCTTCTTCTTCTTCTTGTTAGAGCAAGCCCTGTAACATTTGTTCATTCTGGTTTTGTGTTAACAAACTCCTTTACTTTTTCTTGTCTGGGAAGCTCCTTTTTCTCCTTCAGTTTTAAATGATAGCCTTGTTTGTAGGTCTCTGCTTTTCATCTCCATGAATATTTCATGCCATTCCCTTCCAGCCTGAAATGTTTCTATTGAGAAATTAGATGACAGTCTAATTGTTGACCTGCTTTTCTCTTGTAGCTTTTAAAGATTCTCTCCTTGTCTTTAAGCCTTGTCATTTTAATTATGCTGTGTCTTGGTATGGGCTTCTTTGGGTCCAACTTGTTTGGGACTCTCTGAGCTTTCTGGACTTGTGTGTCTTTACTTCACCAGATTAGGGATGTTTTCAGTCATTATTTCTTCAGATAAGTTCTCGATCTCTTGCTCACTCTTTTCTCTTTCTGGTATTCCCATGATGTGGGTGTTGTTACACTTCATGTTGTCTGAAATGTTTCTTAAGCTTTCCTTATTTTTTAAAATTCTTTTTTCATTTCTTTTTTCAAAATTTTCTTGTAAGAAGTAAATTTCTTATCTTTTTAATAATATATTTTATTGATTATGCTATTCCAGTTGTCCCAATTTTTCCCCCTTGGATCCATCACCCAGTACCTCCGTTTTCTCCATCATCCCCTCCCTTAGTTTATGTCCATGGATCATGCATATAAGTTCTTTGACCACTATATTTCCTACACTGTTCTTACCATCCCCCTATTTTGTACCTACCAATTTGTACTTTTTTAATCCCTGCACCTCTTCCCTTATTTTCCCTTTCCCCCTCCTAGCTGATAACCCTCCAAATGATCTCCATATCTATGGTTCTAATTCCATTCTGTTTGTCTGCTTAGTTTGTGTTTTAGATTTAGTTGTTGATAGTTGTTAATTTGTTGCCATTTTATTGTTCATAGTTTTGATCTTCTTTTTCTTAATTAAGTCTCTTTAACATTTCATGTAATAATGGCTCGGTGATAATAAACTCCTTTAACTTTACCTTATCTGGGAAGCACTTCATCTGCCCTTCAATTCTAAATTATAGCTTTGCTGGATAGAGTAATGGAGGTTGTAGGTCCTGGCTTTTCATCACTTTGAATACTTCTTGCCAGTCCCTTCTTGCCTGTAAGATTTCTTTTGAGACATCAGCTTACAGTCTTATGGGAACTCCTTTGTAGGTAATTGTCTGTCTTTTTTCTTGCTGCATTTAAGATTCTCTATTCATCTTTAGTCTTTGGCATTTTAATTATGATGTGTCTCAGTGTGTTCATCTTTGGGTCCAACTTGTTTGGGTCTCTCTGTGCTTCCCGGAGTTGTATGCCTATTTCCTTCACCAATTTAGGGAAGTTTTCTTTCATTATTTATTTAAATAAGTTTTCAATTTCTTGCTCTTTCTCTTATCCTTCTAGCACCCCTATGATTTGGATATTGATACATCTGGAGATGTCCCAGAGGCCCCTTATTCTCTCCTTGTTTTTTTGAAATCTCTTTTTGCTGTTCTAATTGAATGCATTTTTCTTCTTTATGTTCCCTGGTTTTGGTTTGATTCTTGACTTCATTCCCTCCACTTTTGGTTCCCTGTAGGTTTTTCTTAATTTCACTTAATGCCAACTTCATTTCTACATGATTCTTGGCTGTTGCAGTACCCAGTGATTTATTTCAGCATCCTGATAACCAGTGTTTTGAACTCTGCATCAAATAGGTTGCATATCTCCATTTCATTTAGTTCTTTTTTTTGGAGTTTTATTCTGTTCTTTCATGTAATAATTTGGGCCATATTTCTTTGTCTCCTGATTTCGGCAGCCTCCCTGTGTTTGTTTTTGTGTATTAGATCAAGCTGCTTTGACTCTCTGCTTTAGTAGTGTGACCTATTATAGCAAAGGCACATGTAAATTGTTTTGTGGCCTTAGGTAATCACCAAGGTGAGACAACCCATTTCACTACTTTGTGGCTCTCTATGGGGGAGGGCTGAGAGAGGGGACAAGGATGATGCCTGGCCTGTAGTGATTACCTGGGAGAAAGCTGTCTTCTCGCATTTGCCCTGTTGCCAGTCAATTCACTTTCTCCCCTTCTCTCCATCTGCCACTTGTGCCCTTCCAGCTGTTTCCCTGGCGCTGAATCCTAGAGGGGGTAGGTTCTGCATAAATCCTGAGACCTTTGTGGGTTCTTTAAGAGGACTTTCCTGAGAAACCTTCAGTTTCTGCCACCACCCCAAACCCCAGAGGTTTTACAGCCAGAAGTTATGGGGACTTTTCTTCCTGGCACTGGAACCCTGGGCTTGATGGTCCGTTCTTGGACTGGGATCACTTGCTCCCAGTGTATCCCTCCCCATTCTTATCCACCGGACAAGAATGTGGGACCACTTTTCCCACCATCTCTCTGTGACACTCTCCATCTCCACCTCTCTGCATCTCCACTTCTCCTACCCGTTTGGATGGATGTAGCTTCTTTAAATCCTTGGTTGTCAGACTTCCATACAGCTTGATTTTCTGAGAATTCTGGGTGATATTTGTTTTGTCATCTAGTTGTAATGTTGGCAGTAGTTGTGCTCAGAGGCTAAGTGTGTTTACCTACCCCTCTATCTTGACCAGAAGTCTTAAATTCTTTTTTTCTTTTTGCTGCTGTGCTTGGGTGTTGTTTTCTACATTGCCTTCCAAGACACTGATTAGATCCTCTGCTTCTTCTAACCTACTGTTTATTCCTTCCAGTTTATTTCAGATATTGCATTCTTTACTTTTGACTGATCCTTTTTTATGGGTTCTATGGTTTTTTTCATGCTGTTGAGTATAATCCTTACTCTAAACTCTCTGTATGAATAAATTGCGTGCCTCCATTTCATCTAATTCTTCTTCTGGAGAATTATCTTATTTTTTCATTTGGGGCCAGTTTCTTTGTTTTCCCATTTTGGCTGTTTCTTTATATTTGTTTCAATTATTGGGTTGATCTGTAAAGATTCTGGTGCAGACCTTGTCAGATGCTGCTTGTTACTGGCCCTGTGCAATCTGTTTGGGGCTGTCAGTGATCTGCAGAGTGTGGCTCCCTCTGCTGGGCCTAGTAGTCTGAGCCAGAGGTTTTTCAGCAGTTAGGGCAGTGGCTGAAAGGATGCCACTGCCCGAATTCTATGGCCTGAAAATTTAGCTTTGTATTACACTGGTTTTGTTTTGACATTTTGGAATTTTCTCATGGTTGCTCAGCAGTGGAACGTTGTGCATACACAGTGTATTCCTGAAGTTGAAAGAGTACTGCCCCGGTAATTTGGCCATGCAGATGGTGCTAGCTGTTAACTGGGCTTTCTTCCCCATGTGGTCACTCCACCTTTGATAATCTACCCCCACCTCTTTAAACGGTGAGGAACCTTCCAAGAGAGTGAATGCAGAAACTACGTAGCTCTTAAGGCTTATCTGTGGAAGTGACTTAAATCACTTCATCTGCATTCTGTTGATCAAAGCAAGTGACAAGCCAATCCAGTTTCAATATTTGAAGGGTTGGGAAGTAAACATCATTTCTTGAAGGGAGGAGAAGCAAATTCACATTGCAAAGGTAAATGCATAATAAGCATTGCTGAGGCTATCTTCACAAGCAGTATACCCCAAATACCCAATAAGTCAGTTGGTAGTGCTTGTAACATAGTAAATTCCATTTATAAACATGCTGAGATTATGGGTCCATTACCAGCTGGTCCCAAAATAATATATGAAGAGAGATCATTTACTGTGTTTGATAGGGGAGGTGGGGGTCAAAAAACTGAATTTATTTATAAAAATTTGTGTGTTTACTTACATGTTTAAACTTCAGTCACCTTCAAAGTACTCTCTATTTGATGCAACAGAGCCATTTTTCCACTTTTCAAAACAGTTTTGAACTCACTGATTTTGATGCCTTTTAGTGCTACTGCTGTTTTTTGTTTCACTTCTTCCTCATCAGCAAAACATTTTCCTTTGAGGACTTTTTCCCTGGGGACAAAAAGAATGTTGCTTGGAGTGAGATTGGGTGAATAGTGAGAGTTGGGGACAGGGGTCATGCTGACCATTTTTTGACCAAAAACTGCTGAACACTCAGTGCAATGTGGACAGGTGCCCTCATAAATCACCCATCATGAAATGAGCAAATGCACTGAATGAGTTTTAAAAAAAGATCACCAAAGCCAAATGCAACCTCTCATAACAACACCAGCTGGCACACTGATACAGATGGGTTCCTAAAACACTCACCTCATGGAGGAATCCTATACTACAAGGGGTCCACTCTCCAGAAAATAGTTCTGGTTTTAGCTCCCCTTCATATGTCTAAAGTACTATCAAGTAATTTTATAGAGTAGCATATTTAGAATGTGGTTAACTTTCACGATAAGTAAAGGTAAAGGTCAGTATGTTTTTTTTCTTTCAGTCATATTCATATGACTTACATTGTTGCTAAAGTTAGGTTCTGCAGTCATCAGTGAACTAACTGCCTTACTCTCAACCTCAAGATATGAACTGTAACATTAATGTTTTCAAATGAACTTGATATAAGTGGCCACTGATGGATTGATTATAAAAGCCTTGAAGGTGATAAAGTGACAGAGCAACATCATGTGTGTTTTATCTTAATTCTGCCCTTGAATTTTCTTACCTAGTGTTTCTTTTTGCCTTTCCTCATAGGAGCTACTTGTGTGTTAAAGAAGAAATTCTCAGCAAGCCAATTTTGGAATGACTGCAAAAAGTATAATGTGACTGTGTTTCAATATATTGGAGAAATCTGTCGCTACCTTTGCAAACAACCTAAGGTAAGAGTAATCATTCTCACAGAGAAAAAGTCATTCCAGAAAGAAAAAGTATTGAGAGAAAAAGTGATTTTGTTGGCTTATCCTCCATCTTCTTCCACAACATAGTTTACCTGACTTACACAGATAAAATGACTTACCCCAAGATAAAATGAGTATAAAACAAGTCAGAGAAAATAGGAGAGCTATCCAGGAATGTACTAATACTGTGCTTTATAATGTGGCAGGAAGACAGACCCACAATCCAGCTCACTTCATGTTTGGACTAATTAAACTTTCTGCATACACAGCATACATCTGATGATGAAGTTAGATACATGCTCTGTTTACAGAAACCAATTATTCCAAGGTTGAATTAAATAATCTTTTAAATGAAAACTAACACTGATTGTGCTTGTTTTTCTATTTTTTTCTTTGAATAAGTGATTATATTAGAATATCTTTTTATTTGGGTTTGCTTTGATTTACACTTATCTTCCCCCCAAAGCACTCATTTCCACATAGTTTTATAAATTACCCTCTTTCGAAAGTAAACAGGCAAAGAGAGTTGCCTGAAGTTTGTCTTTATTAATTTGTTTGCTTTTTGCCCTCAGATGTTACTTTTCTTTCCCTGGTATCATTTGTATTTCCAGATGCCTATTTTTTAACTGTCTGATTTCTAAATGTTTTTGAGGCTACAAAGAAGTGATTCAGTAATCAGATTAACACCAGCCCCTTGAAGAATGGTAATAGAAAATGCTTCCCTGTGTGGGCCCGGGCAGCAGAATCTGCTGGCCTACCGCTGGCCTCTGAGAAACACCTTTCCTAGACTAGGACATCTCTCCCTCATCACCTCTGCCATCATCACACCAGCTTAAGGCATGAGAGGGGGCTGGGATATCTTCTCTGGTTGGCTACAGTAAGGAATCCTTTTACCCACAGCGCAGCTGAGACAAGAGTAGAGGCATTTAAATAAAACTTTATTAAAGATATGGGGTTACACAGAGGAAATAAACACAGAAAAGAATGTGAAACTGGATCATCTTACTTAGAAATGCTTTTATTCATTTTAAGCCTCGAATTTAGCAGGGAGACACCTCTTGTCTCGCTCCTGACCGACTTTGTGGCAGAAGCAACCCTTCTTCTTCCCATTTGGTCAGGAGTGCTTCAGATGGCGATGGATTTCCTAGACCCACACCCAAGACAGGGAGTCCCAGAGAAATGTTTTAGGTTATTTTTACCTTTATTCTCTTCAGAAAGACTTTACCAATATCAGGGTTGTGATCTCACCTGAAAAGTCCCAATGGAAGAATTTTCTCTTCTAGTTTTCATTGTATTTTTTGGTGATATGATATCTGGACTAAATTAATTTAAAGAATTAATGTCCTCCAGTAAGATGAAAGCCACCTTCAGTAAAGGACACAGTGGGCACTATCTAATGAACTTCTTCATGACCTTTCTAAACTGTGCCCCCAGCCATTCCTACTTCCTCTTATCCTTTAATAGAAACATTAGCTTTTGCAAGGTTATTTACTCAGTAACTATTTATTGAATGGTTGAATACATGCATTTATTTTCTTCCTAAAATTTCACCATCTTAAGTAATGCTGCAATTACTATCTTTATGCGCTATGGCCAGTATGTGGGTCACAGAAGTGAAGGTCTCAATGGACATGGGTATCTGGGTGGTTTCTATGGAATATTTCTAGATTGCTTTTCAAAGTGGTTGATGTGATTTAGTGTGTCAACAAAGTGGAAATATGCCTAGTGTACCATCTTTCATTAGTACTGGCTGGCATTAAAAATAGGTCTTCCAATTGTGCTAGAGAACTAGATGCTCCTTCAAGCTCCCTCAAAGTCCTTGAGGGAAGAACAGGGAAAATAGGCCAGTCATCGTGGCTCACCCTTTCAAATAGGGTGGATGAAACCCAGTTTCCCTGGGCTTCTAAACAAAATAGTATTTTGTTTTAACAAGGATTGCCGTGGGTTTTTTTTAAAGAATGGGGAAAAGATTATTTAACTTTATTTTTAATTTTATAGAATGCAATAAGCATATTTTAAATTTCTTTATTGAGATTACTGGCTAGGTGGGATAGTGTTCTAGCTATATTTGCCATTTAAAATCTCTTCTGAGTTTTTTGCTCATTTAACTCTGATACATAATGTTTTATCTCATCCATTCGAGCTATTATTTCATAGAAGAAAGATGTTAATAGTTTGTCATGTTTCCTACAAATCTTTTTCCAAGGTGTTTTCCTTTCACTTTTTTATGAAATAAAATATCCTTTTCACCTCTTTGAGTTTGTAATGCACAAATTTTGGAGCAATTAGATAATTTGAGAAAACTGAGAATTGAAAAAGTTCCTGATTGCTTTGAGTTAATTAAATATTTTAATTCTTAGCTACAGTTCTTTGAAGGCAAGACAGTATTTGTGAAATAACCTCTAAGACAAATTGAGGAAGAGTGAAAGAAATATAGCTTGGCCCAAAGGAAAGCTGAATCATTTTTCTGAGCAGAGATGCATTGTGTTACTTAATCCCCTTTGGTGATCTCACACAGAGCGAGGACAAGCAGTTCTTGGCATTAAAGATTAGGAAAAGGAGAGTCATTCTGTTATGACATCTTCTCCCCTCAAGATCTTACTTTTTGCTGTCCAATATTCATTCCTTTCAATGAACTTCTGCAGGGAAGGAGTGGTGTCTGCTGTGCAACCGGAACAGCAGTGGATTCAGGTAGAGCCCAGGAGTGAACAAGTGACATAGTCCACACCCTCAAAGAATGAAAATTGAATGTCTCATAGCTGTGGCTTGAAGCTCCGTAAACATTCACTTAAAATAAATACTTAAGTTAAAGAAAGCAGAAGAAACCCCACATATTTTCTAAATATATCCAGATCTGTTGTCAAACTCAGGGTAAGAAATATATTCCTAAGGAGATCTATCTGCAAGCACACTCACAGTCTGAATTGAGCATTCATATGTAGTTGCATAAAAATGCTCCAGGATTGCCTTTCCTTGGTGGAAAGTGTTTATCCATCCCCCACCGAATCCTGACTTTTTTTCTCATTTTCAAAGCTCCAGTTGCAAAAGTTCCTTTGGCATAAACATTGGATGTGCCTCAAACTGCTGGCAGCAGCACTATCCTTTTAAAAAAGCCAAGGTACTGGCTTTTCTTAGTCACAGGGCAACAGGGTAATTGTTCTCTTTCCGTGAGACTAGGAGAGTAGCTCTCCCCAAATTCTCAATCTTCTGAGTTTTCTACATTACTGAATCAATACCATACAATTCCATTTGGATCTAGTTTTACATTTTCTTAATATTAATGCTGCTTTTAATATTGATAGATGAGGAATATGGTGGAATTCTAGACAGCAGTGATCACCTGCAGTGGGGGAACTCTTGCTGCACAGAGTATACTGTATTTAACTGTGCCCAAGGCAGTCACCAGGGAGCCATACCTAAGGATGTATCTAGAGGTAGGATCATATATGTCATTCATTCCTTCATTCAAGTAATGTCATAGGTTTGAGTATATGGGGAGCACACAAGACAAGATCCCTTTTCTCATGGAATTGACACTCTCATTTGAGAGAAAGAAAACAAACCAGCAAAAACATGAAGACAAGCAATTACAGATAATGACAAGCATTGTGAGAAATAAAACAAGTTGAGGTGATAGAGAATGATAAGTGTTGGGAGTGGGACATTGCTAATTAGATTGAATGATCAGAGAAGATGTGAGTGAAATGGTGACTTGTGAGATGAGGAACAGATAAGACAAGTGGGAACCAGACATGGAAAAGATGGGGGGATTGTACTTGTAACAGAACAGGCTGAAAATTAAGAAGCCACACAGCAAGGAGAGTGTGGCTGATCCACCATGGACCAGATCTTACAGAGCTCGGTAGACCATAGAGAGAAATTTTTATTTGACTTCCATCAGAGCATTTGTGAAAAGATAAAAGCAAATTGGAAAAATATATGCCAATTTGAGATCTATTTTGAAGGAAAGATAACAAAAGGACATGTTAGTTCAGGGATAGGAAGTGAAGAAATGGATAGAATCAAGAATTGATCCCAGATTTTTTGTTCAAACATCTAGGTAGATTTTGAACCATTTGAAGAGATAAGGAAAGTTGAGATTTGAGGAATTAAAATAAACTTCTTTTGGACCCGTTAAGTTTGGTATGTTAATTAGGCACCCAAGTGAAGAAGTTAAATAGGCAGTTGGGTGTACAAATCTGGAGCCCAAAGAGTACAGAGGACATGGTCTAATTAACAAAATGATGCATAGGTGTGATGCCTACTTTTAAAGTTAATATCATACTTTATCACTTAGCCTATATATTTTGTCCATACCTTTTCATGTGGAACACCTACATTTTGGCATTCTAAACATATGGCCCATACTTTTTAATATATGTATTTTAATATATATGTTTTCTGTAAATTATATCCCTTTCCTTTATTCTGTTTTCTTAAAAGCTAAGAAATTCACTGGGAGCCAGAAAGTATCCTTCTGACTCTGTATACTTTCATTAAGGTGTATTAAAACTTTGACAAAGTGGATTATAATCAACTCCCTTTATGAAAAGAGAGATATTTTAAAGCACCTGGATATTTGATAAGTGTTTACTAAATATTGCTTGTTAAAAACCATACAAATTGTACAGTATTTTCATTAGTAAAGTTTAGACAGTCCTGCAGTGAACTCCTGTTTGCTGGGTTTCATGGCATTATGAGATTTTTCATAAGACTTCATTTTGAAAGGACAGCTTTGCTTTACTTTTTCTAATAAAAGCCCACCATTTCTTTCAAGATTTGAGAGTTTTTCTTGTCATATTTAGATAAGATGTGAGAATGAGGAAGATGTTAAAAGTACCAGAGAATAAAATTTCAATAATGTTGACTTGACCTACCTCTCTTGACCTTGTTTCTTTGTTTTACCAGTTATATTTTAATTTTTTATATTTGTTCCTTTTTATTTAATTTATTGGGGTGACACTGGTTACCCAAATTATACA